GGTACTTTGATTTTCTACCTATTATGTTTTAATTCTTTTATTCCCCAAACAGTTATTGGTTGTGACAGTTGGTGACACATTTTATGTTTAAACCAATTCCTTCCTAAAGAAAATTTTGGCTACATATCTGTGTATGTTGTGATTAAGTCAGTTATTTATAATAATAATAATTATATAACCACCAAGGTACCTACTTTTTAGTTACAATAATGTTCTTTTTCTTTATTAGTTTGTTAAAGTTATTCTGTATGTGTAGTATCATGTGCTAGATATCTTTAATAATGATATGTAGTGATCCATATGGTTAATGGTTTTCTTATTCTAGTCTTAACAAATTCAATAATATTAAATTTATTGTTGAACTTGTAATCATGGTTATGAATAAACTAACAATTCTGGTTGCTTAATTCACTGTACAATAATAATCATTCAATAAATGGCATGAAGCAATCTGTTCATAAACAGCACAATCAGAACAAGAACAAAATTGAATGAACGCATGTTTCACGATCTGGATCGATTCATTCACAAGTGCGACCCATTAGTTTGTGAATGATACCTCTAATTTTTTTTTGTAATTATAAATAAAATGTAATGGCTAGTCAAAATATTTCTACTCATTATTTAATATGAAAAAATTATAAATAAAATGTATAAGGCTCACAACAACTTCTGCTTACATAATGTGGTCATATCACAAAAGGTTGGAAACCCCTAACTTAGAGGGTGGGTTATTACTTTTTCTTGCAGTAAAATGGTGTGCGAATAGTAATGATATGTAATGTAATTTATCTATTCAATAATTAATAGGGACAACACTCGTCAAATTGATGAAATAGTTACACAAAAACTGTCCAAGTTAACATAACTTACGTGGTCATTCATATCGTCCAAAGAATTGTTGTTAGTGTTTGATGTCCCGGATGTGCTGGGGCCGGTTTCTTCGTTAAAATCGCTCATCCTGTTTTATCTGGTTCTCAAATGGTATTTTTTCTACCAACCGGTGTGATCAAAGTAATAACAAAAAAATCGTCTCACCGCCAGTCAAATAATTGGGTTTTCGAAAGAAACCACACGAATTTGATAAATTACAAACGGTTAAACAGTAATATTTTCCATACAATAACTGTTGTACCTACACGAATGAATATGCCAGAGAGTTTATCACAGGAGAACGAACATTTTTTTAATTTGAGGTTACAAGGAATTTTATCAATAAAGTTGTAAACTTGATTAAAAATAATCAATAGTTTATAACTCATTTTACTATTACTTAGTATATTAATTAGTGTTATCTAGTTAGTTAAACTTAATGTGCTTAATTTAGTGTTATAATCATAACTTGTTGTGTATTAATATTTTGACAACATTCAAATTGCATTATAATTAATAATTATGTACCAAAATAATACCATTGATAATCAATCATAATACGTTATTAGAAAAAAAATATACATAAATTACAATTCTGATTTATGAAAATTTAGTATAGTAATAGTAGATACTCAATTGAATTTATTCATGTCTGAAATGGAGAAAAAAGTTTTGTTAATTTTCCTTAGAATGATTTTCCTTTATATCATCTTTAATCTTTCTAAAATACTTTCGTGAAAAATACGATAATAATAATAATACGTTATTATCAAATTTTATTGAAATACCTACTTAGTATTTTTTTGGTATATAAAATTCAAATAAAAATCAACACTGTAATGAAATACTTGAAATTGTTTTAATAAACAAAATTCAAATACAAATACATCAATTGAGTTATTATCATTGTGAAATATAATTAATGATAAAACCCTTGCTGTGTAAGTGAGAGTGGTATAAGCAGTCTACCTCTCATTCACATTTCGAAACTCGTTCCCTTATTATATTAATATAGGAGTAGCATATCCATCATTGTATTAAGTCGTACCTCGTTCAACGGCGATACTCAATACTGTGGGTCAATATAGATAACAGAAAATATATTATCATTGACACAAACAACAATTGATGTCACGGAAAATAGTGATCCGATCGCCGAAAATATTGTCATAGAATTCAAATGTAATTGTGCGGTTTCAAAAAAAAATAATTGTTATGTTATGTTCATAAAATTCTATAAACCTACAAAACCATATTTTACGTATTGGTTATAAAAAAGGATATAATAATTTCATCAAAATTTCATACACAATCAGAAAACAAATGTATTGTCATATAATAATTAATATTTGTTTTTCTCAATTTAGTAATTATTGTAGTGAGCCCAGGGCTTATGCGATTGCGCTCGTACGATTTATTTAATGACCACCTTCGCCGACGTCTGCTGGTGAAAGGATATGGAGATGGATAGTAGACACGGTTAGAAGTTAATACAATTAAAACTTTATTTGGTACAAATCATATAATTTAGAAAACATAAAATGGACCAGAGGTTCGTCCGCAAGGGCATGGACGTGGACCTACTTAACGTGAGGCGAGTGATGATTTAAGATCCGTAATCGCTCTGCCTTTTGGTGTACATCATTACCCGTATGTATACGGAATCCAAACCGACGCTACGTGCTTCTTAAAGGTTATCTAATAGTAATTAAGGAAAACGGAAGAAGGTTAGCACGTATCGAGGTTCTCTGCGACTATCGGATACTATATTATTGATGTAGGTATCGTTCCTGACGTGCTTGTAATACTATATTTAATGGGTTTACTACATTGTACAATTTGTAAAGGACCTTCGCAATAAACACAAGATGTTAGGTTTATATAAAATAAAATAAATTTTATTATGTTAAATTATGTTTCCCGAAATTGAAATATAATTTTGTTTATTATTACACTAATATAAATTTATCATATAGATATAATAGATAAAGTAAATAAATTTAAATAAAATATTGTGTAAAATAAAATGAATAAATAAATGAATGATAAGTGTTTTATGTTTCGAATTAAAAATTCATCATCAGGTAGTACATCACAGATGAAATTTAAAATGCTAAAGTTTATTTATTTACCAGTATTAACCATTTTAATAATTTTATTTTTACTACATTATTTTATTAAATAATAGATACCTACTAAATAAATGTTTCTGTGAAATTCTCTGATTTTGCACAATTGCAAAAAATATTGGACATTATTAAATAATAACCAAACATTTATATTATTCAATGTAAAGTAACGATTAGGCCTGAAATTTTCATTGAATACACATCAAAATTCTTTTACATTTACAATGATTCGTTGAAAAGTCTAATAAACTTATATTTTAATTTTATAGAACATACTTATAACTTGAGTTTTATCCAATACTTAACAATATTCTAAATCCCAAAAAAGTGCACATAACTACCTGTATAAAGCTACTTTAAAACTATTTAATTTTGTAACTATTCAATGCCCAATGACTTAATTTTGAGTTAATAATATTTTGTATCAAAATGGCTAATTTGTTTGACTTTCTGTAATATACACATACATTTGAAGTTGATTACTTACTAGTTAATGATCGCAAGATTGAAAATGTAATTTCTTAGGTATAATAAAACTGCAGGTGGCAGGCGCACACAAAATTAGCCGTTGTATCAAAATACAAATATTTTTAAATGTTTTTTTTCAGTTGTTTTACATTTTAATTTTTTTTATAGTTAGTCAATTAAATGTTAATATCATAAAATACCTTAAAAGCTTATAAGTAATGGCATAAGTATTAAGATAATTTTTTTTATTTTGTATGAAAAGTTGGAGCAACACAATATGTACAAAGGTAATTCACTCCACATAATGTACCCTGAGTAGCTATAGAATTACCAATTATTGCACTAACTCTTCTATCTCATAGTAATTGTTTTTAAAAATAGCCCTCCTAAGAGCTCTTCGACCTAAGAATTAAGATAAAATTTAAAATTAAATTATAAATTAACAAAAATATTTTATACTGTTAGACTATGATTAAATTAATTGACCAAGCATTTTGTATTTAGTAATTTCTAGTACTTAAATTGTATATGTGTGACTATGTAGAGAAATTCTCTTACACAATATATTGAAACTGATACATTATATTTCAGCATCAATCTGGAATTGATGACAAATTAAATTAAATTAAACTAATGTCTTCGACTTGATCTGGATTGGATTGTTGTTGATCAAATACATTTAGGGACCCAAATTATACATTACTTATAAGTAGACTACAACTATTAAAAAAGGAATAAAATATTCGATTAGTTATTTTAATACATTAGATATGACAAAATACATATTTAAATTAATCCTTATTTTCCTTGATCGCGCCATAATTTGAGAATGGATGGGGAGATTTTGCTGATTTTTTTTTATTATGTTCATTATTATCAAAACAAGTTTTTTATGAAAGAAAATTGTATAGAAAATCTGCCAGATGTCATAAATTTGGATGGCAGTTCTTTTTTAATTCATATCACCAAGGTAACCCATAAATCAACAAAAATAGTTTAGTTCTGCTTTCACATATTTTCATAACATAAGAAAATGTATGATAAATAAAAAAAAAGGTATGAAAAAAAATGTTTAGTAAATTTACTAAAAAAAAAATTGAAAATTTGGATGGTATTTAAGTTATTTAAGTGTTAGTGGAACACCAACAAAATTTCAATTCATTTTTATATAAATTAACAATGTAGTTTTAATTTTGTATTAATATAAATTGTCGGCAAATATGTAAAGCCAATTGACGACTATAATACGGTCAAGCATTCTTACTCTCCCATAGATTATGTTAAGTGAAATGCTTAACATTTCAAAGGAAACCTTTAAAATTCCCGCCCCCCCCCAAAAAAAAAAAAAAATAAAATAAAATGTATGAATGACCCAGTTGTAAGTTAAGCTAATAAAAAAAACACACTTGTCTTCAACAATTATTGTACTCTAAGTGATGTAATTATTAATGCTCCTAATTAATTTAGTTTAAATCCAAAATAAAATTGTATTATTATAGTTGTAATTGAGTTAAAGATCTTCATACATAATTGATCTTGAGGACAGTAATGAAATATGTAATTTAATTGACATTATGCTTTTGTTAAATTACGATATGAAAAATAATTTCAACAATGAATATTGTTTAAAACATTTATTGAATACACCAGAAAATTGTTTTAATACATTACGTACCTACCACAGTTATTTACTATGGTATCTACTATTGTTATTAAAATTAAATAAATATTCTGCAAAAACTACAAGATATTGGAGTAATGAAATGCTCTTCGGAATGACTGTATTCTAGTTAACCTAAAAATAAATACATAAATAATACAATTCAAATTTAATAATTCTAGGTATTTAACCTTCAGGCGAGCATGTGTGCAGTATTAACACTACTCTTAAGATAAAATTACCAACAGTGTTAATAAATCAGTGCAGCTTATCGGCACTTCTAGGTAATATCTAATAACTAATTTAGATGTATAATGGTGTTCGGTATAGCTCAAATATTCGGGAGAGTATTTATTTATGTATTGAATTTGGATAGAAACATGAGCAGTGTAAATGTCGTTGAGTGCCTATTGCATGTCTGCTTGAAGGTTAAAAGATTAAAGTGAAAAAATGATTATTTTATTACCTCAACTCATTATTGAAAATGTTATTAACCGCTCCTTTTCCTAACATATCTGACCATTAAAAATGGAAGTCCAAAACCAGAACTGAAGAAAAGTGCTGTGTACAATGTAAATTTATACTTGCTGTAAACATCAAATGGTAGATTCTAAAAAAAATATAAATGTATATAAATTATTTAATTTTTTGATAAGATGTAACAAAATATCTTAATATAACACATGATATTTAAATAGATTTAAAAGTACCCATTATTATTTAATTAATATTTATCAAATATAATAAGTTATTTACCAACAATAAGTATACAATTTGCCATATTTAACATTTTATCATGTTTAAGTAATGTTCAAACATACACAATTTCTATTTAAAATAACAAATACAAATTGTAAAATAAATACCTATACATTTTATTTAGATAATAAATGATCATTGTAAATAAATCAAACAAGTATTTAAAAAAACAATCTTTTGTAAAATGTTCTTATTTAAATGGAATACCTATAGGTAATAAGAGGAATGTAAGGTATGGCCCAAATGGGATAAACATGTGTACGAGTTAATTAAATTATTATTTAAATAAATTCACATTTGGTATGCACCTATTTATATTAACTTATGTTAATATCTCGGAAGAAAAAATTATGCTGGTATCTATTGATATAGTGTACACCAGTAATGCCGAACCATGTTTTAAGGTGGGTAAAATGTTATACAGACCACCATTCTTGTTTATAAAACAAACTTCCATACAACATTCTTAATTAATATTCCATATGTACCAATTAGATAAAAAAATATAGCTCAGATACCTATCATGAACCTAACGACACCCACCGATTAAAAGAAGGGCGAAGACCGCCATTGGTTGAGACTCAATTTATTGTATTTTATACCGTGAATCAGATGAAAAAAAAAAGTAGGTGCAATGGAATCACAAATAAACAACTCTATACAAAACATAACTACCTAAGTTTTAATATAATTTGAAGTTAAGCGTCCCATAAAAATAAACGTTTGCGCATAGGTGTATTATCTTTTGATAATTTCAATTCGTGTTAGATTATTTTTGAAATAGAATAATATGTTACATTAAACCCACAGAATAAAATATACGGACTAATAAACGATTTACGATCACTTAAATACAATCCCTTATGATTGGGTACTATGTAACATGTGGTATGTCGTTTTCTTTTTAACTTACACGTCCAGGGCCGGTGTATCCGTGATCCGATCTTCTTATGGCAGTGGTCGAAAACTGCCTGACCGCCTGTACGGCTTTAGAACCGATCATAGTGATTTTTTTATTTTATTGAAACGTATAAGAAAAGTCGCAACACGGTTTGCGGTACACGGGCGTTCACAAAAATCAAGTCCTTATCTGATGATTTGACATTCAGAATTTAAGACGTCAATTCTGGTTGGTAAGCCGTCATGAATACAAGATTTCGAGATGAGAGTACTGCACGTTGTCAATGAGTTGTTAGTAGTGGGTTGTTAAATTATAGTTTTCCATATGAGTGCACTGTTCCACCTAGGCCGGGTAGGGTATAGTTTTATAATATGACGTCACTACTATTTGTGTTTGTTAACAGGGGTCCTAAACTAGTCATACAGTTTCGTTCCAAAAACTCTCTTCGGTATTCTGATTAGTTTATATT